TATTAATATTTCAAGATTCAATTATCAACATTTAAGAAAAATTTCCTATAAACGATTGATGTTTGTCAAAATCCGGTAGAATTCTTAGGATGAAAAAATCTATCTTTGATTGTTACTTACTCTAACTCAAAATTGATGCATAATAGTTACGAACGTTACTGTTTGTTCATTGAAGATCTTGATTATAGAAATCATCCAAGATGACCGGTTTTGAAGCAGTTTTCTATTCTATTTTATATTCTTATGGAAATAAAATAAAATCATTCTCAAAACTATAAGTCACATTTTTTTTGATGACTTCTTGTTTTTTCTATCTATATTTTTATTCATTTCTATGAACATTCTTGTCGATAACCTCAAGGAAAAAAATCACTCAAAATAAAAGTAGCAAAAGATATCATTCAAAAAAGACCGTAAGAATGAAAAATAGAAAATAAAAACATGTAGATAAATAACATGAACTAAGCAAAGATAGGTCTATTAACCTGATCACACATCAACACCAATAATATGAGACAAGAAAGAGGGCGTTAGTCCACTCATCTCATATCGACGATCAATATAAATACTCATTCTTCCTATGTAAAAGTTCTTGACATCTAGTCAGCGAATGAGTTGATGTTCTCAAATTATGTTCAATATTGAAAGTATACTATACGTTATTAAATATGAAAAGAGAAATATTCGACACATTCAAATTTCAGATGTATATTAAATTTCTGTAAATTTCAACCTCTTGATTTCGAAAAAGAAACAATGTATATTCAAATCCATGTTACAAGAGAGCAGTTCATTTCGTTTTTTTTCAGTATTTTGTATATATCTTATTCAAAATTTTTATAATTGATGGCAACACTCAAATAAACATATGAAAAAAGGAGTATGTACTCAGATGGAAAACAAATTCTTTGCTGCTAAGGAGCATACTCTGAGAGACTTTTCAAGATAATCCTTTGTCAAACAACATGTTAGAAAATTAGGGTATGAATGCAAAGATAATATAATAACTGTTGAATACCAATTTATATAAGAAACAGCGATATACTTTACTGTCATATGTGTGAGCAAAGATTTCAAACTTGATATTAGTTTGCAACGAGATTGCTTCAATAAAAATTATATTATGTGAAAAAAAAACAATTAATCTTAGTACTAGACATATATAGATTTGTTAAATGAAGCCACAAAACAGAAACAAGATTCTACAGTGTTGTGATGAAAATAAATATTTCTGAAAATTAGGTATGGATTGAAACAAAAATTTATCACATATGTAGAATTGGAAAAAAAGTTGTACTCTATTTGTAATTTTAAACTTTTGCTGCCATAAACTGGCCTTTGATTGAAATGAATTGAAGTTTTCAATCGAGCTTATAGCGCCTATGTAGAGACATTTATAGTGAACAATATTGATGAAAAATTGATTAACGATCATTAGCATCTATTTTATTCATTCAATTTTGTCCTAACTTGTTTTTATTTTCCAATTCAAATACAGCTTGATGGAATTTTTATTTTCATTTACGTATTGTCTTATCATATTTAACTGGACATAATATTTATAAGATTAATTTGAATTCTTGATTTATTAAAAGAATTGTCTTTTTTTGCCAGTTAAGTCAAGAATTTTAATCAACTGGTCTGATATGGTCGAAAAAACTTCTACCAATTCCAAGTATATCAACGGTTACTCACGCTATTCGAAGGAATTGACCATTATCAATGCACACACATGATGGTGCTGATATCTAATAAACTCATAAGTCAGTATCTATCATGCACAGCCTTGCAAATAATATTACAAAGTTGAGATGTATATGCATTTTATGCTAACCAGTCCTTGTAATGACCTTGACGAGAAATTTTTAGAGTTGGATCAAGCATTAGTCATTGTTACCAATTGTATAGAAACGTCTTGAATACATTTGATAGGATATGAACTACTATCTTAACGACAAAATACAGTATATCTGTTATTTAAATGACATTCCTCGAAATACATTTCATTCTCAGCTAACTCTCATATTGTTCTGTCGATTAAAAAATCTTCGATGTCTAAATATTATGTGCGAGAGTCAATATGTACTAAATGGCATTGGCAACATTTCAATGTAGTCTTCTTTTATTGTAACTTATTTGGCTTCTACGAATCAACAGTTTCATTCAAACATGCGGAGAATAAAGTTTCAAACGCATGTGTCTGTTTCTTCTAAACGAAAAAACTAAACTTTCAAAAAACCTCAGGCAACATTCATCACAATGGCACTCCAACACAAACATTTTGACGAGATTAGAAAATGAAATAATTTACAGTATAAATCACCTGTATAGATTTTGATTGCGAGTTTTTTTCCTTGACTGTACGAATCGCAAGTTCGTACTTTTCGTCGCGTTGATGTCGAGAACGGCAAGTTACTAGAAGTCTGTTCGAATGATGATAGAAAACTTCATATGCTGAAATGGTATAAATGTTGTGCGATTTTTAAAAAGATGTTTCATTTGTTAATAGAAGAAAGATCCAGTCTAGATGTCAATATTCATCTAAATGTGATGTTTCATAAACGTCACAGTCGAATTTCAAAATCTCTTCGCATCGTTCGTAGTCCACACTATAGGCTTCAGCTAAGTGTCATGTACTTCAATAGAGCCATCAACTTCTAATTATTCGGCATCGCATTCTCCGCGAGTGCAGAGAAAAAAAGAATTTATTTGTCAATACAAAAGTAAAAAAAACAACAAAAGTAATGAGAGAATGCATAGAAGCCTAGGCAAAAAAATATTGTGCGCAAACAATGCTAGCAAATCATTCAAGAAAAATAAAAATCTCTTCTCTTCATGTTCTGTGACAACATCAATGTCATATTTTTGCCATGTTGCTAAACAAATTTCTATCTGTTTCCACTAGGACAACGACAGAAGATAATCTATGAATAAAGTATAAATAGTATTAGTATTGTTCATTTTGATCTTCAACATCATTCATTATTTTTGTCCAGATAACTTAATTCTTTCATACTACTCAGTGGTCTTAATCAATGACAACACTATCGATTCCAGTACCGATGCAATTAGTAGTTATTGCCCTATTATCTATTCTATCTATATGTATTTATCAATCATGTTCACAATCAACTGTTTCAAAGTCAATCACTTCACAGTCAACTGTTTCATTGATCAATAGTAGCTGTCAACAATCTCTTGTAGAAAGTGATGGATTTATTTGCGAACCGGATTATCTCTGGAATGAACGTAAATACGTCTATCATGCTCAGGATAAAGAAAATATGATGAAACGTAAAGACCCGATCTATTTTGTGTCAAATTGGGAACCGAATTTTCATTGTTCACATGCCCAACGTATTGGTGCTATGGGTGATGGTGGTAAATGGGTCTGTGATCCTTATCGATTGAAATTACGTCCTGATTGTCTAGTTTATAGTGTTGGATCGAGGGGTGACTTTTCATTCGAAATTCAAATGAAAAAAATCATACCACACTGTGAAATTCATACATTCGATAGACGTCTATATTCATGTCCGACTAGCATGTGTAATTTTCATCAGATGATATTCGGCAATGGAATTGAACCAAATGGTTCAAGAAGTTGGTTGACTATTGTTCAAGAATTGAATCATACAAATCGATTGATTGATATACTTAAAATTGATATTGAAGGCGGTGAATATTCATTTTTTCCTCTTGTATTCAATTCGACTAAGAATTTATTTCCACGACAAATTCTTGTTGAACTTCATCCAAGAAATGTCAGTATTATTCATGGTTTCTTCGAGCTCTTGCGCAACAATAATTACGTTATATTCAACAAAGAAAACAATCTTTTTGCAGGTCCTTATTTTTTTGAATATGCTTTTTTAAAATTAACTCCACGTTTTTTCGTTCAATCTTACAATAATAAGGTCACGAAATAAATTTTCAAAAAAAAATACACCGTCTCATTTTAGTATAGAGTCGATGCTCCTGATATGAGCGCATATTGACATGAAGGAATTTTAGCAGCTTGATAACCCGGGAAAAAGTCTAAAAAGGTGTGGATATTTATTTCAGCGCATCCATACCGATACTCCAGACATCCAACTTCACATTCACATCCTTAGCAGGACAATATATAGATGCTTAGTTATCGACAATCCTATATGATAAAAGTAACTAAAAGTAGAAAAGTTGCCCATCAACATTGTAAGTGAATGAAAAAAAACCACATGAAACCTCTTCAAAACATGAGTGAACAGAACAATGTAAATTCAAGATAACAGATAAACATAAAGCATTACTACGACGAGAGTAGCGAAGAATTTTTAATATAAGTAAAACCGACTGATAAGATTTGGCTTGAAAACAGAGTTGAAAACAAAATAACAAAATAACAAGTATAGTTATCTGAAGGGACGCAAAAAATTGTATATAAAATGGCAGAAACTATAATCATAAAATACTTTGATAATTTGAGTTTCAGTAGCTGCAAAAATGTTTCCCTTTAAGACACGTGATTCGAATAACAAACACTTGTCTTTTCTCTTGTTGTTCTGCACAGCATCAGAAAGAAAAGAAGTAATGCACGTCGTATATGTCTCGACTATTTTGCCATCGTTTTGGTTTTCTCTCATTCTTCCACTAACGACACATTTATATAGATGTCTGAAGGTAAAGAGCATTCATTCATATATTTCTGACCAAGAATTCAATTACAAGGTGTGAGACCAAGTGAGTGATTTTTCATATGTTGTCGATTCATCATCAAAAGTTATGTTGTACATGATAGCTACAGATGGGTTGACACGAAATAGATCTTTCATGAAAGACAATAGAAATTCAGCTAAGAGACTTTATTTCATCTGTTTGCCGCAAGTCTCAGATATACTTTATCGTCTTGAGAGATAGCCTACAGACAAGATTTGCCTATAAATCTACCCCAAACTTTATACAAGTATTTTAGTGAGCATGCACTTGAAAATATTGTCACTAAGTGCATTTGTCTTTGAGTATCGACTTGGTATTCTACTCACTGATTGATGTTGAGTGAGCGTCATTATTATATTCACACGATTTAAAGATCGAATTTCACGAATAAGTAACTATTCTGAAGATTTCAATAAATCCAATCAGGCTGAAAATGTTTATCTTGCAAAATTACATGAAAAACGTTCAAGTCGATAGAAAACACAATGATATAGTATGATAGACACTGAAAGCATAAGCAATATTCTAAAAATAATAGGTCAGAGACAATAAATTGTTCTTCTATTTGAACATTGTTGTTTGCTACAATATGTGTATTCAGATATTTCTCATGTACCAAAATGTAAAGCATTTGAAGCTGACAAAAAAATCAATCCAAACAATTAATTAATGATCATAGATATATTACATATTCAAACAAAGAGAACAGTTTAACGGAGCCCAAAAATATACGAAGGTGCTTCATAGAGAACTCCATGACTCTAAAGAAAGCATACATCTTTATCATCGATTGGGATGAATGAAAAGTGCTGCAGCTGAAAATAAGGAGGCAATTGTATCGATAATTATTTCTTTTACATTAAGGCCTCCCCTTAAAAAAAAGTTACTTTTCGTCAGAATAGTCGAAATCAAGATAAATGCAGAAGAAGATAGCTCGAGATCTGATCTTTTATAAACGACAAGAATTTTTACACGGCACTTCGTTTTTTCCAAAAATTTTTCAAGATTTTCATCATCCCCTATTCGAAAAACAAGCTGTTTCCTACACAAGCCGAAAGTCTTTTTCGTTTTTTCCCAGTTCATGATTTGTCGAACGCGCAACTCAAATTTTTCTGTCCGGGTTCATGTTAATTATTTAAATTTTTTTTTTGTTGGAAAGAGCATATCAGGATGTAGGGCTTCACAGAGTCCTTTTTTTTTAAATAAGTTTTTTTATTATCATATTAGAAAACACCTCTATAGAAACAACGCCATTTTTTTAGGGGTTCTTTAAGTCATTAAACTTGTGATTCCTTCTCTCTGCTTAAAAAGTAACAATTTAAAGAAAAGGATTCTGTGGTGTCCTGCATTCTGACATGCTCTTTCAAACAAAAATCATTAAATATATAGCATGAGACTGAATAGAGAAATTTGGTTTGCCAAATGTGCCCACTTTTGATCCTTGTTTGGTGAATATCTCTGTCGAATGTCATGATATAACGCTGAAAATTTTACCGTAGCCTCTCCACACCAGTCCCAACATATCCTGACAATTTCATGTCATTTGAACGTTCCTGGGCTGAGATCGATTTTTGACGGGTGAAGAAGGTTTTAAATAGGATAGTTATCTTTTCAATCAATAAAGTTCACTTGAGAGATCGTTCAAATACATATTGATGTGAGAAAATCGAAAAATCTATCAAATACCAGAAATCTTTTCTACCATTGAACATTCATTTTCAATGAAAACATACGCTGCATTTAGAATTAGCAACAACTGTAGAAAGTAATTGCACTTGTGGTTTCTCTAGGCTTGAATTTTCACGAAAAGTATTTTACGATAAAATCAACAAAATTCACTCCAGTTTTTTTTCGTGTGAAATGGGAATCACTTAGTCTCTCAAAGAAATCGTGATACGAAACGAGTCGGATAGATATGAAGTTTTCTTCTAGATTATCAGTTTTTTTTTCATTTTCCTCGCATCAACGTGCACTCTAGCGATTTTCCAAGCAAATTTTGCCGGAAAAAAACTTTAATAGAACATATTGGAAAATGAGCGTTGTGCACCCTATCGAATAAGGCACGACTGAATAGAATTAAAATTCTATTTGAGTTTTATTCTAGGTGCGCCCTATAAAACTGAAAATGTGAAGTGATCTGATGAACATAATTACTTAGTGACAGCAGCAGAGTTGCCCACCTCTTCTGCTTTTTGAAGTTTTTTCTGTTTTTTTTTCTGTCGTTTCTGCTTTTTTTGATACGACGTTATTTATCATTTCAATCAACATTTTTCACCTGAAACACTTTCGTTTCCATAATTATTTAAAAAAACTGTATCAAAAACTACTGATATTTTTGTGCCATTCTAATTCTTTCTATTTGATACAGATGATTTTTATTTTCTACTGACTACAAACAACTACCAACCTACATATTTGACTTTAAATCAATTCTTTACCTATGGCTTTCTATAGCATTTTAATTACTCATATAATTCATATACATCAACATATATATTCTTTCGTTTGTTTACTCAATGAACATGAATAATTAATATGATCAGTGAGAGGAGAAAAATAGAAAAAACAGCTCCAGATGTTAATGGCAGCTCGACTAGCAAAGAAGGTATTCACAAAGCAATGGTAGTTGCTGAAGTAATA